AAAGGCAGGAGCCATAACTGGGCAGTACAGGGTGAATAAATTATGTCAAGATGGGATTGGGGGTTGGGAAGCGAGTAGAATTCTTCAACTATTGTGTGAGTAGGGGGTGGAAAGATAGTATCAATACAATGGCCAGGCTTTCAGAATGAATGGAAAAATGTGATGACTTTAAATCTTTTATTTTTCACCTCAAATGTTCCTCATAGAATGAATAGAATTGGCTGTTGCATTTACCTATAAGATGCACAGTCACTACACTTTACAGCACTCTACCTTGTCAAAGCTCTTTTAAACATTTGGAATCTATAGATGCAACATTTGAATGATTGATACACTACTAATAATAATACTACTATTAGTATTAATCCTTGCATTTGATATAGCACCTTATCAGTCATCAACGCATCTCAAAGTGTGTCACAAGCTTTACCGTAGAATACAGTGAGTGTGTATTTTGTAGGCAACCAATTTGCACACAGGAATGTTCCACAAACAAGCCAAAAAGTGCCAGATCGAATGATTCTTGTAAGACATGACATCTTTAAGGAAACAGCTTCCCATCTGTGAACTGTGGAGATTCAGGAGTGCACCTTCCATCTGTGCCTCCATCTGGCACCATTGGCCAGTGCTCTGCCCGGAAGCAAACTCTTATCATGTTTCAGGGGAACATATTGCACTTTTTCAGTCTGGCTGATGAAATCTCTTTCCATTGGTGTAATGAACTGTCTCTGCGGACATCACACCAGATTAGTTACCTAAGTGCTTGCATAGCTGCTCGCTGTTGTCCAGCCTGTCATCTTGTGCGTCAGATGAAGGTACGCACTCTGACGACATGTCAATTTGCTTTTATTCTTGTGGATAAAGTAATAGGTAGACGGTCAACTCTTTCATGTAGTGTGGCTAGTGTAAACGCTCCGGGATGCTACCCTGCGTGAAGGGTGCTATATAAATGCAAGTCGTTGTTTTCTAACCACACAAACTAACTAAGCATTATTGCCAGTGTAAAACACTACAGGATAGGCAGCTGTGAACAATATTACACAAACACTTGTGTCGAAATCTGTATCAGAAATAAAACTAAATAATTCACAGTGAGATCCTCTTCAGTCTGAATGGTCCAGTTCCTCTTTTGTTTCTGTCCTTCCCAACCTGTTACAGATGTGGTTCCAGTCCCTGTATTTCATGGTGGTTTTGTGGTGCCAGATGTTGTGAACTGAAGTCACCCACAATTTGGTCATCAGTTCTCATCCTTGTCCAGCAATAGGATGTGCCAAGTACAGGATCCTTAGGTTTAACATAATGTGATATTGGGTGCTACCAGGCTGTCTGGGCTGGATCAAGAGTCTGTGATTGTGGATCAGTGAAGGAGACCATGCTGGAGGGAATGACTGAGTACAACAGCAACGACTGTCATTTATATTTGTTTTTGGATACTCTTAAGCATGGTGATGGATTTCGGCATGTGTCCTGGCTGAACCCCCACCCCCAAAAAATAATAGCTTTTGTGGGGGACTTTACCATGAATGAGCAGTAGACTGGAAAGAAACTTACTTCTGAAAAGAGTCCTGAAGGGAAAGTGTCGGGATTGAGTAGGACCCGGTGGTTAATGCTAACATTCCAACAACAACAACTTATATTTACTTCACACAGGGTAGTGTCTCAGAGCACTTAACATCCCCCCAAATAAATAAAATTATTCATGCATTTCATGGATAAAGTCATTAATTTACACACTAACAGTAAGTCTTGTCAACTACTTTGAGGTGATTTGACAATGTGATAAGGCCCATTATCAAATTACAAGGATTCTTATTATCAATTTTGGGCAATTACCATGGGCTGATAACAGATTTAGCTGGTTAAACTCCAACAATACCCAACACACTCTGGGGATCTCCTAGCCTTGGGTCTTGCAACTTACACCTAATACTTTCTGGAATTAGGTAAACAATATGCGTCCTTCCAATCAGAGAACATGCACTCCATTCCAGGAACAAGGAACATTTACACAAATATGTGCAACTATCGGTTTGGTTTGGATAGTCTTAAGAATGGTGCTGTGTGTGTCAGACACCTGCCTGAAAAAAACACTTTTCCAAAGCTATTTTATGATTACAAAAGTACTCTGTAAGCATCTGTACTTTTTCTCGTAAAGTTTCACCTGGAATCTCACACACAGAGAGAGGACTGTGTAAAGTATTCACCGACAGAAAGCCGACAGCTGTCTTTAGTGAATGAGGATCTGTCTGCTCTGCTGCTGTGAGACTTATCTCAGGCTTATCTACCCGGTATCGGTGGTCGTCATGGCAATCTTGAGTTTCCATGGTTTTTCATCACTTGCAATGAATCTCTTTCAAAACACTAATTATGACCTGAAGATTTTTGACAGCTCTGGAAAGGGAAGTGCAGGTTACACCAGAATTCACGGCAGATTAAAAAAAAAATTGTGTATGTTTATTGTACTCGGCAATTTCACAGATTCTTTGAGAAACCACCAATGTTACATTTTAAGAGGATTGCAAAATAAAGCATCCCTAATAGTCAACAAGGCTTTTTTTTTCCTCAAATCACTGCTGGATACCAGTCCAACATGGTCTGGTTTACTTATCACATTGATTCGTAACACATAATGTATAACAGTGAAGCTACATTCATGGTTAAATGGTCTGACATATGGATGTTAAAAACTAGACACATTTTGTGATCTGCAATAGGAATCATTTGGAGATTTGGGGTCTTTCTTCGGAGGCAGCAACTCAACTATTCACCATGAGGAACGATTGGAGAAGCTAGGGCTCTTTGACCTTTGAAAGAGATGCTGCAGAGTGGACCTTATAGAGATATGTAAGCTTTCAAATGGGATTGAAAAGTAAACCCAGAACAATGTTTTCCGATAGGCCAAGACCAAGACGATATAGGTTCATGCCCTTAAATTTTTCACCATAATCCCCATCTACTCTCCCCCCATAATCCACACCTGCTCTTTCCCCATAATCCACACCTCTCTTTCTCTGTAACGCTCATTTGATTATTCCTATAATCCATATCTGCTCTTTCTCTGAAATACTCACTTGATTTTTTCCATAATCCTCACCTGCTCTTTCCTTGTAATTACTCAACTGCCTATTTCACACTGTTCACCTGTAATTCTGCCCTCACAGTTTCCTCAGACAGTCTCTGTTCAGTCAGTGAGGCAGCTCTGCAGCTCCACCCCTGGGTTTATGTGTGAGTTGGGAGAGCTCAGTAATTACTATGTACATCCGTCCCCAGCACTGAATAATGATACCAACACTTGCCTTTAAGCAAAGTGATTGAACTCCTAATGGAGCATAATTAAAATGAATGTAATTAAAACCCATTATACATCATCTGGCCACTCACAGTCAATGAGATTGATGCACTGTTGTCTCATACACTGGGTTTGTAAAGGAATGTAAGCTATAAATACCGGAGTGGCCAATGTATATTACACTGGGTAAGAGGAAACTCAGTGAATGCTGCAAATCTGAAATCAACACAGAATATGCAGTAGGAGCACCAGCATCAATGAGTGGATTCCTCACACCCACAATACAGTAACCTGGTTAACAGTGGACACTCACAGGAACAATCATGTCCTTTTTGTTGCTCGCCAATTGTGCTCCATCCTCCCTTCCCCAAACGTATTGACTATTATTTTCCTTCCTTCTCCATCTCAGGCTTGATGCAAGCCTCCCTCTCCCTTCCACCCCACAACCAATGGCCAAGCCTTCAGATGCTTCACCCTTAACCTCTGGAATTCCTTCATCTTGTACTCTCTCTCTCTTTAAGTCCAAACTTAAAACCCACCTCTTTGACCATGCTTACACTCCCTTTACCCATTCCTCCGTCCACTCGTCCTTACTTGGCAGCCGACCCTGTCTTTGTGATGCACTCTGAGATTTTATCCTACGTCCAGCACAATACAAATGCAAGTTGTTGTTGTTGATGAGACAGTTCTGCGGCACTGGCTGCTTTCCAATACCTTGGAATGAGTGCCCATTTGTAACGAGTAAGCTTGACAGTGAGTCTCAGGAATTTATAACAGCGGTGCCATCCTTTGGATGGAATGTTAAATCGTAAGCTTCCATCTACCATTCAGGTGGACAATAAAGTTTTTAGGAAAAGCAGCGTGGGAGCCAGAGCAGGAGGTATGAGGCAGCGCAGGAGTGGGTGGTATGAGGCAGTATCATTGGAAAGTGATGCCACGAATGGTCCATCGCACCGTCACATACACACACACACACACATTCACACAAATGCAAAACTTAGCTCCACTACTGCTCAGGCTGCGTTTAGAACATTGCTATTCAGAAATTGGCTGCTGCACTTAACTAAAAATACAGCCACTACACTTTACAGACAATGTTAACATTATCGGCACTATGTCACATGCAACGATTATTATTATTAATAGATTACAGAATGAATCTAGAATGTGTTGCCATTACTAAATAATTACATATGGCTGATGGCTCAGATGCTGCACAAGACACTATCCGATCTGAAACTGAGCCCATTCCACACACAAGGACATTTCCATGGTGCTTCCCCTACCGATTTGGTGGGTCTGATTTGGATACTATTAAGCATGGTGATGAGTTCCCCATGTGTCAGACATCCACTGACCAAAAAAAGTGTTGCAGGTTCAATTCCGGGTGTGTTGAATCCAGTGATTGATAGGGGCTTCACATCTAGGAGAGGTTTTCTGCATCCAAGAGGAGGCGTCACACCAAACAATCAAACCAATTTAAATCTTGAATTTTTCCAAGCTGTTGCATTATGGTGTGTAATATTTTTCCTAAAGGAAATAACTGCGGTCAGAATTCAGCTATAGATCAGACAAAAGGAAAACTTTTATTGCTGTCTAAATAAAATTATTTCTTGACATAGCATTTAGATTTATCAAGGTATATTACAGTGTATTACATTCAACTGAAAATAATATCGGATTTAGAATATTACAATAAACTGACCAGGGGGAATAGGTTAACAACTTTAAAGTGCTGGTGTTACCGGTGATCATCGATAGTTTTAAATTAGGTAAATGTCCTGTATGATTTTAGTGTTACAGCATTAGTTTAAACTTTAGAATGAATTATTTTTTGCTGCATAATGTATTCAGCAATAAGACTGCACCGTTGACTGAGAGTTCAGGGAATGACAAAACAATCTGGCTGTGAGTTCACTATGGTTAATGAGATGTGGATCAGCTATTGTGATGTTCAGGTCAGTCTGGCTTCTTCACCACACCCAAGAACCCCCGCAGATTCCATTCCCACTGCTTGGATGGACGTTCAATAATGGGCGTCAAGATCAATGCAAAAATCTGCAGGGAAAAAAAAATGACATTAATTTTAATATTCAAATACATAGGGATGGAAATTCAGACATATGCTGTTTGATTGTCACTGGTGCTAACTGTTGCATCCTAAAAGGATGCCAGCAATGAAGCTAGCCTATATCTAGACTGGCTGCAGGTATGACTTCCCCACCATTCACTGTAGTCGGGCCTGAAACTGGGAGTGCCAGCTCCCAACTGTTTTATTGACTTAATACATAAATGATCTGGATCTGGGAATTGAGGGAAATAGATCAGAAGTGCTATTGATAATAATAAGCAATAATAATAATCCTTACATTTGGTATACAGCCTTTCACGTCAGGAGTACATCCCAAAGCGCTTCACAGCCTATATTGTAAAGTGGAGTGATTGTGTATTTTATGGGTGATACCAAATCGGGGGCACACCACACCTCGAGGAATTTTGTGAAAGACTGAACATAAAAGCATCGGACACAGTTCAGTGCTCAAAACAGAGCAGAGGACACAGGCTACTAAAGCACATAGAAATCATAAGATTGTATTTGATATAGCGTCAACAGTATCGGGGAGATTCATTTTTAATTCTAGGAGAATCCAGGTCAATGCTGGAGGGTTGGCAAACTTGCCTGTAGGTTTTGGGCCTAGCCTGCTGGATCAATAAAACATTTTTTTCCCAAATATTCAACACTTGGCTGCAGAGAGAATATTAAAACAGAAGCTCACCTTACAAGATTGTTTTCAGGGCAAACTTTAATGGCTAACACCGCCATTTATATCAGTGCCTGATTGCCAGAGCTGTTTAAAGGAATGTTTTATCTGAGAGGGAAAAATAGTAGTTGAATATCAATAGGTGGATAGGAACACTCAGGAAGGAAAGCTGCTGAAGAAAGTTCAAAGCATTTCTATATAAGTTGGTAACAAATAATAATAATGATTATTGTATTTGATATAGCGTCTTATCACGTCTTTGAGACATCTCAAAGTGCTTAACAGGATATACTCTAAAGTGAATTGACTGTGTATAACATAACATGTAGGAGCAGGAGTAGGCCATTTGGCCCTTCAAGCCTGCCCCGCCATTCAATCATGGCTGATCTTCTAATCTAACTCCAGTTAATACCATAACCCTGCCTTGTCCCCATATCCCTTAATCGCTTTTACAATAAGAAACATATCTAACTCAGTCTTGAATATGTTCAAGCACTAAACGTCACCAGCCCTTTGCGGTAGTGAGTTCCATACATTCACCACCCTTTGAGTGAAGAAGCTCTTCCTCAACTCAGTGCGAAAGGGCTGGCCTCTGATTTTAAGGTTGTGACCCCTGGTTTTAGTTTCTCCAACCAGGGGAAACAATTTTCCACTATTTACTCTATCATGCCCTTTGATGATCTTATAGGTTTCTATAAGATCCCCTCTTATTCTTCTATATTCTAGAGAATATAGGCCCATATTGGTCAGCCTATCCTTGTAACTCATCCCCTCGTAAATCTACGCTGCACCCCCTACAAGGCAAGTACGTCCTTCCTTAAATAAGGAGACTAAAACTGCACACAGTATTCCAGGTGTGGTCTCACCAGGGCCCTATACAGTTGCAGCAAGACTTCCCTACTCTTATACTAATTCTTTCATAATGAATGCTAACATACCGTTCGCCTTCCTAATTGCTGCTGCGCCTGCAGACTAACTTTCTGTGATTGGAGTACAAGGCACCCAAGTCCCTCTGGACTCTAACACATTCCAATCTCTCCCCTTCTAAAAAATAACCCGCTTTACTGTTTTTGCTACCTAGGTGGATGACTTTGCACTTCCCTACATTATACTTCATCTGCCACCTACCTGCCCAATCACCTAACCTATCTATATCGCGCTGCATTTTTTTAATGTCATTCTTTGTGTTGACACTTCCTCCTAGTTTTGTGTCATCCGCGAATTTAGATATATTAACTTTGATGTCCTCGTCTAGATCATTGATGTAGATGATAAATAGCTGAGGTCCAAGGACTGATCCTTGTGGCACTCCACTAGTCACATCCTGCCAATTTGAAAAGGACCCGTTTATCCCTACTCTTTGTTTCCTACCCGTTAACCATTCCCCAATCCACGTTAATGTGCTCCACCCAATTCCATGGGCCCCTATCTTTTGGACTAATCTTTTATGCGGCACCTTATCGAATGCCTTCTGGAAGTCCAAATAGACCACATCCACTGATTCACCCTTATCTAGTTTACTGGAAATGTCCTCAAAAACTCTATGAGATTTGTCAAACATGACTTCCCTTTTGTAAAGCCATGCTGACTTGGCCTAATTATGTTGTGCTCCTCTAAATACCGCACTACCACATCCTTAATCAATGATTCTAAAATTTTTCCTATCACTGATGTGAGACTAACTGGCTTATAGTTCCCCATCTTTTCCTTTCCACCTTTTTTAAATAGTGGTGTGACATTTGCGATCTTCCAATCCATGGGGACTGATCCAGAATCCAAGGAATTTTGGAATTACAGACACAAGGCCTCCACTATCTCATAAGCTACCTCTTTTAAAACCCTAGGATGCAAGCCATCCGGACCAGGGGATTTGTCACTTTTTAGTTCTAACAGTTTTCCTAGCACCAATTCTCTACTAATGAAAATTTCCCTAAGTTGCTCCCTGTCCTTATCCCCTTGGTGCATCTCTATTGTTGGCAGACTTGCTGTGTCTTCTAGGGTGAAGACAGATGCAATTACAACTTCTCCCGACTCTGACTGAAGTGGACCTACATTTACCCTCACTAGCCTATTCCTCTTAATGTATTTGTAAAAAACTTTTACAATCAGACTTAATGTTCCTAGCTAGCTTACCCTCAAACTCCTTTTTCTCGCTCTTAATGAGTTTTTTAGTTTTTTTTTGCTGGTTTCGAAAACTCTCCCAATCTTCAGGTTTGCTGCTTTTCTTGGCAGTTTCATAAGCTTTTTCTTTTAATTTGATGTTTTCCCTAACTGCTCTAGTTAGCCACGGATGACTTGCTTTTCCTGTAGTACTCTTATTCCGCAAGGGAATATGCGACCGCTGAGAATTATGCACTACATCCTTAAATATTTGCCACTGTTGGTCTACATTTTTACCTCTTAATCTTATTCTCCAGTCTATTTTACCTAAATCTTTCCTCATACTTACAAAATTAGCCCTATTTAAATTCAGAATACTTGCCTCGGATTTAACTATATTCCTCTCTACTTTAATGCAGAATTCAATCATATTGTGATCACTCTGCCCTAGAGGAGTCTTATTACCTACACTGCCAACTAGCCGTTTCGTTACATAAAACAAGGTCTAGGATGGCCTGTCCCCTAGTTGGTTCCTCGGTATGCTGCTCTAGAAAGTTATCTCTCATACACTCAATGAACTCTTTTTCTAACCTACTTTTGCCGACTTGGTTTTCCCAATCTATGTGGAGATTGAAATCACCCACTATTATCACTTTATTTTGTGTGCAAAACCAGCAGCCAATTGTGCACAGCAGTGTCCCACAAACAGTCCTGGAATAAGTGACCGAATCATTATTATTTTTAAAACGTATTTATTGTTTTGAAGGGATTATTACCCCTGGAAAAGTGATCCACCAATTGACCAACAACTGGGTTCCTACTTACTGCTAGGTAAACAAGCGTACGGAGTAAGGAACCTTGCCAAACTTTTCTCCCTTCCAGGGAATCCAACCCAGGTCCTCTCGCTTGCGAGACTCAGGATTACAAATCTCTATGGAACAGTTGGACAGTCAAAACAATCCACTGTTCCATCATGGAATTTCCAATAACAGTGCTTCGGCTCAATAAAATACAGTAAAAAATGGACTCTTTCACGTACCAGTGAGATTTACCATGGAATTGCCATTATAAACTTGCTGTTAAAAGATTGTTAGTGTTGGCTATCGGCATGTGATAGACCTCCATGTGAACTCTTATGATGTGAACTTGAGAGTGGGGTGGTCCTTGCTGGACAAGCAGCGAGAAGCCTCCCAGTCAGTATTTGGGACAGAATGGCGAATGTTTGAAAGAAATATAGATTATTGGAATGTAAAGATATCAAGGGTTATGTGGAAAAGGCAGGGAAATGCCTTAAAAGAGAAGCTGATTTAATAATCTGGTAGAGCAGGCTTGGTGGACTGAGTGCCTACTCTTGTTGCTGCACTACATGCATTATGACACAAGGTGGTGGTGTCTATCAATAATGTCTCAGTGTAAATCACAAAATTCCCATTTAATAGCCAGATTCACTCGTCAACAGACAAAAGTATCGGATTCGAGCCTACTATCTGTGGCAGTCTCGGTAGTCCAGTTCCTGAGCCAGGCGGGTTCGCAGTATTCCAAGCCACTGCTAATGACAGTACAGGCTCATCGGCAGGACCTGGAAAGGCAGACTGGGAGCAGGGAGTCATCCCACTCAGCTCCTGTTAACTGTGCAAGCCAAAGCTTTAACAGGTAGAGTGGTCTTAACTGGACAAGGAGCAGAAAATCTTGCAAGACGGCGATATCAATGGCAAGCTATGCGGTTTTAGCTGGTTAGTACCAGCAGTACCACAACCCCCTTTATGGGGCCCCCGTGCCTTGGCTCTTGCCAACCTGCGCCTAATATAGCATAGATATATATATAGCATAGCATATATCAATATATATATAACATATAGCACAGATGTATTTAAGGGGAAGCTAGATAGGTACATGAGGAAGAAAGGAATAGAAGGTTATCCTGGAAGGCTTAGTTGAGGAAGGGCAGGAGAAGGCTCAGGTGGAGCTTAAACACAGGCATAGACCAGTTGAGCCGAATGGCCTGTTTCTGTGCTGTACATTTTAATGAATTCTAATGTATTCTAATACTTTTCGGAATAACATAAAAATAGGCAAAAAGAATAATCTTTGCATGTGATATAACTGCATCAATGTTAGAAGCGTGTCTCAAAACACTTCACAAGATATACTGTGAAGTGCAGTGACTGTGTGTATTGTGTAGGCAAACACAGCAGGCAATTTGCACACAGCAATTTCCCAAACAGCCCTGAAGTGAATGACCAATTTTGTCTGGAGGATTATTGGCCAGGATACCGGAAGAAAGCCCCTTCTCTTTTCACACAGTGCCATAGAATCTTTAACATCCATCTGAACAAGTAGATGGGACCTTGTTTTAATGGTTAATTGAAAGACTGCATGTCTGACAATGCTGCACTCCCCCAGCACTGCACTAGAGTGTCTGCCTGGACTAAATGGCATTTGCCTTTCCCTGGGTTACAAGTACCAATTCCATTATTTTGTGGAATAACTCCCACTCCTGCCTCACTTCCCCACATTTACACCTGCTTTTCAATCATTTACACAGCATCTTAACATAGATCAGAGAACACTAAAAGGTTCTCCTCCAAAAGAGAAGCACTTAACTGGCAATGAAGTGACATCCACATTCTCCTTGCATGTGTGTTTGCAATAACACAATATCCTCCTTACATTTGGGTGTATGGTATTATTGCAAACACACACACACCGACATAATAAGGCATAATATCAAGGATTATTATTATTAAAAATGAGTTTGAAGTTGGCTTCACACTGTAGTTACACACATGCACACACTATCATTATTATGATGCAGAATTGCAGTTGGAGTGCAGGCAGATTTATTATTTCCAAACTATTATTTTTAAATCATGAATGCCCACAAAATATACAGTCAATCCACTTTACAATATATTCTGTGAAGTGCTTTGAGACGTCTCGAAGTCGTGATAAGGTGCTGCATCAAATGCAAGCATTATTATTATTATAATTTATGGAAGGTGTCCTTCCTTCTCTGAGTGAAGAACACCAAGGCTGCACTTTTTCTGCTACTCTTACTGTAAAACGCTGAAAGCTTCTATTAAAAAAACAGCATTGGTGACACAAGAAAAAGGATGGGTGACTCAATGGCAGATCTCTCAAGATAAACCCTAAGTGAGAGGCAAAAATATTTATGGAGCGAATGTAACATGAACTCCTAGGTATTAAGCAGAAATTATCCAGATGGTGGAGCATCGCTCTCAATGCTGATATCTCTGAAGCTGAGTCACGCACAGAACCTCTGAGAATGCGGCTCTCTGCTCAGAGTAAAGTTGCTATCCCACTAACTAACAGACAAAAGCTGTAATCTGCGTGTCAAACACACCAGTCAGGTTCACAGAGGTGGTCATTGCTGGGAACAGTGTGTGGGGGGTCAGACTCAAGCACATTCGAAGCCTTGGGCCCATAAGGAAGATCACAAATTCTGTGTCAATTCTTTGTTAAGTAAAGTACTTCTAAGTAGCAAAATACAGAGGTCTGTACCAGACTCTGCATAGGGCCATTTATCTTCATTTTAACTAACGCTGGGCATTTAAATATGAAGCATTTACAATTCATTGAAAATGAGAGTATTTAAAAAGGAATAACAGCCCTCTTACATTTTGGAGAATGGTTCGAATATCCACTGCTCCTGGTTGGTTGTTTTGCTTTGTGGCTTTCAGCTGGGATGAACTGCTCTCCACATTTGGTTTGGCAGTGGTGTTAATTTCAATGGAAGCTTTCTGTGCCATTGAAGGAGAAAGTGAATTCACTCGTTTGTGTCCTGATGCTGCACTGGAGTCAGGCTCCTCTGAAGGGATCAAAGATGCTGATGTGAAGTCCGGTCTCAGTGAAGCTGTTGAATTGCACACGCTGGGTGATGATTCTGTGTGACTCACTGATGTCATCCCACTCACTTTCTTGGGCTTTTCAAGAGATGAGTAAAACGTGGACTGTTCCTTTAGCAATGATTGCAGCTGCTAAACAATAAACCAGAAATTCAGGGCAGAAGTGTTAATTTTAATTCAATTAATGAACATATTGTCCACAGCAAATGAGGAGATTAGGAGAATTATTTCGTGCACACAATAGTTAGGATATGGAATGACCTACTGGGAAGGGTGGTTGAGGCACAGTTTACATTTGCTTTCAAAAGGAGACTGGATAAATACCTAAAAAGGCATAAACTACAGGGGTAAGGGGAAAGAGCAAGTTAATGAGACTGGAAGGATTGCTCTTAAAAGAGCCAGCACCGACATGATGGGATGAATGGCCTTCTTCTGTGCTGTAAATTCTATGGTTTTACGGACAAATGTAGAAACAATTGTAAATGATGAGACATGAAGCAGCACAGCAGATAGCTAGGTTTAGAATTAACTATGAAGAGGTAAGTAATGGAAAGGAAACGTTCAACAGTAACAATGACATTTGATATAGTTCAATTCACACTGGTGAGATTTCTCAAAGGTTTTGTGTTTTGTAGGCAAAATGTCAGGCAAGTAAATCTTCCAAAGTAAATTGTCTGAGCTGGGAACATCATTAATAAAAATACATTTAATTCAAATATTGTGATCCATTGTAAATTGCTATTTTAGAAGGCGTTTTCATTATCTTACTCACTGTCATTTTACTTTTTTTTAATTCCATTCTGTATTATTTTATTCAGTAAACTATGCATGTTAGCCTAGCTCAGTTCTCTGAGGCAGAAGGTTGTGGTTTCAATTGCCAAGTCTGGTCAACAATCCCCAAATAGAATTGATCACTCACATCATGGTTGTTTGTGACACATTGTTGTCCATAAATTGGTTGCCATATTCACCTGCAAAACACAGTCACTACACTTTACTGTAAAGACATCCTCCCTGGCGTGAAAGGTACTATATCAAATGCATGGATTATTATCATTATTATACACACAACAGCTCAATAAAGTTGTGAACTTTATAAAACTATTCAGTGAAACACACACATGTCAAAATCAGGATCGATCTCACTGTACCATACTCATTTCTTCTTCAACTTGCCGAGCCCGATCCTCAAGTTGAACTCCTAACTCTGTGATCTCATTGTACACTGCCTGGCGTAGTTTCTGCAGTCGTTTCACTTCCTCCCTGTCACAAAAAATATGCACAGATTAAATGAATGCAGATGAACCTGGTCATTCCTCCATCCCTTGGATGGCAAAGGCATTTCCATAATCCCCCACAAAATACTATCTAATGTGTGATGATACATTCGCCAGCAAAATAAACAGTTACTACACTTTACAGTGTAAATCCTGTGAAGAGCTTTGAAATGTCCTTGTGACTTGAAAGGTGCTATATCAAATGCAAGCATTATTATTATAATTATTGATAATAATAATTACATTTGTATTCCATGTCAGGAGGGTACCTCAAAGCATCACTGAGTGTTGTGGGGCAAATGCCAATTTGACCACCTCAATGTCCCACAAACAACCGTGAAGTGAATGAACAATTTTATTTGGGGTATTATTTGTCCCAACACTGGAAGAAACTCCCTTCTCTTTTCGAATAATGCCATGAGTTTTTTGCACAGGCAGACAGAACCTCGATTTAACATCTCATCCAAAGGATGGCACCTCCAACATTGCAGCAACCCCCCAACGCAGCACTGGAGTACCATCTTAGACTGTATAAGTTCCAATTCTGACATGGAGCCTGAACCCACAACCTTCTGACTCAGAGGGAAGAGTGTTACCAACTGAGGCAAGCTGACACAAATGTCAGTCAGGTTAGCACACTAATCTTTCATTTCTGAGAGCTGGGTTTGAATCCACCCGATCCAATAGGTAACTTCTCATGGCTTCACTAAATCAGTATATTACAATAATGATCCCTACATTTGATAAAGTGCCTTGCATATCGGAAGAACATCTCAAAGCGCTTCAAAGGATTTTCCTATAAAGTGTGGTGTATTTTGTAGGGAAAAGTGGGCACACCACAAATTCCTACAAACAGCCATGAAGTGAAAGACAATTTTATCTGAGTCATTATTCTGACCTGAAAGGTGCTATGTTAAATGCAAGGAATATTATTATCAGTGCTCCGAGATGCTGCCCCACATGAAGAGCATGACAGAAATGCAAGTTGTTGTATTATTATTGTGATTGTAATGCTCCATCTGCTCATAACCCGCAGATCGGTTGCTGTTCACTAAAATGTTTGTGGGACATTGCAATGGGTAACTGTGCTCCCACTTTTGCCTACAAATATATAGTCATTCCATTTCACAATATTAATAATAATCCTTGCATTTGGTATAGCGCTTTTCATGTCTTCTAGACGTCTCAAAGTGCTTTACAGAATAGACTGTAAAGTGAATTGACTGTATATTTGTGGGCAAAATGTGGCAGCCAATCGCACACAGCAGTGTCCCACAAACAGCCGTGGATTGAAATGACCAATTTATTATTTTTTTGAGGGATTATTATCAGGTGTGTGGAGTAAGGAAACTTGCCGAAGATTTCGCTCTGCCGGGAATCAAACGCAGGTCTCTCGCTTGCAAAGCGAGTGCTCTAACCACTGAGCTACAGGACTCCACAATAGATCATGTGAAGTGCTTTGAAACGTACTTCTAATGTGATAAGGTGCTATACTAAATACAACGATTATTATAATAATTTATTGTTATAAACTATTACTTATAACCTCCATTATGTGACTTGTGATGAAAATAGGGTGAGGCTCTTCTGGATTTTTTCTCTCTAAAACAAACATTCTATGAAGACAGGTTGTTCTTATCAATGTAAATGACAAATTTACAAGGTATCCACAACTTTAAAGATGCTCATGTACTTACACATACCTCTCATCCTCACTGAGGACACTGTAGACTAAAGCCTGCTGCTCAGTGATACACTTCTCTATGTCCAGCAGCTGATTCTGAAAATGCTGCAGAAATTGTTTTGTGGTTACAATTTCCTGAATGGCCAACTGAGAATTCAAAAGAGACAAGAGTTATAGGGGGAAGGGGTCAATATGTGATGTGATTGAATGTTCTTTGGGTGGGATGTTAAACCAAAGTCCTGTTCATTTCAAATGTTCGTCCAGCTTCAAAAAACAACAGCCTAGAGATGGGCCAGGGGTGGGTGTTCTTGCGGGAGTAAGCTCAATGTGCCTCTGGGCCTTTTTTCACTGCTACCCATCCATATATCTATGAAAAACTACTGACTGTGTTTGACCTGATTCTTGGTAAATGTGTCAGACACGTAACTAAATTCAGTCCCTGTAAAATAGCATCTGAGAGGTTGTGCTAGCTTAAAAAACAATTTTTGCATTTGTTTTTAAGGAATTATTACCCACGGAAAAGTGGTTCGCCAATCGACTAACAGGTTCCTAATTCCTAATTATTGCTAGGTAAACAGAGACATGTGGAGTAAGGAAACTTGCCCAAAGGCTCTCCCTGCTGCGAATCAAACCCAGGTTTTCTCGCTTGTGAGACGAGTGCTCTCACCACTGAGCTACAGGACTTCATTCCATTTTCAGCTGGATTTGGGCACTACTGTTATTCAGACATTGAGGGGATATTGCAAAACACATTTTAAATTTATTTTCCAATTCAGGGATGGAATGTGTTTACAAATACTGCAATTTTGACTGCAACATATTCCATGATGATATTGTTCCTCAGATTATGTGATAACATCACTGAACCTTTTCATCCATATCAGATAGGTATACTTGCAGGCCAAGTGAATATAGGAAGCAAATGTCTCTACTTACAGGGTTCGAAATTCAAAAAAATCAAATAGTTTAACAGTTAGTGTATGTTGTGTTTCGCTCAAATTCCATACATTTGCATTGTGGAACCATTAGCTCAAATGATCCAAAGAGCAACAAAGTCTTTTCCACGTAAATGATTCTAAACATGCAGAAGTAAAGACTGCAATCACTCTTGGATCCCATGATTTGCTTTATTGCAGTGATCAGCTGTTGTGTACAAAAGCTGCTATTCAAATGGTGATTGTCTTGAAAATAAATGTTTCAAAAACATTGGTTTTCCTCTGCTCTACGGTATATAGATTAATGCCTTTAAAAATAGTGCCACATTTGTGGCATGTGATATAATCACTGGCTATAGATACATTTGCTTTCTGTTTGGACTTGGCATATAAGTACATCTGTGAGACATGGATGAAAAGGCCCAGTGAAGCTATCAAATACATTAGAATACAAATATTGTGAGGAATACTATTATGGCATACTTGGCTGGCAAAACTGTGGTATTTGTAAACAGATTCCATTCCTTAATTGGGGAACAAGTATAAAATTCTCCAGAGGCAGAGCAGAGGAGAGTAGTGTTAGAGACAATCTAGGGCACTTCAGTCATCTGAGAGCATATCTCAGAGGGCCCTTATAAGGTGTGTAATATTTAAAATGGGACTGAAAAAGTAAACAACACTTTCGAATGCAGCAAGAGTAGAACAAGAGGACATAGGTTTACATCCAGCCCACTAATACCTCCCACCCATTAATGCCTATTAATACCCATTTAAGTTCTCTTAGATGCTACCCTGGGTGGAGGGTGCTATATAAGTGAAAGTTGTTGTTGTTGTACCCCTCACCCTTGAATACCATGTTCATTAAACACCTTGCCCAATAATCCACCCCACCAATTAATATACCTCATCCATTAATACATCTCGCCCATTAATACCTGTTGCTAATTAATACCTTGCCCATTAATACCCTTGTCCATTGATACATCACGTCCATTAATGCCCCTCATCCATTAATACCCTTAATCCATTAATACCCCTTAGTCCATTAATGCCCCTTCGCCCATTAATACCCCTCACAATCAATACCTCGCCCATTAATACTCCTTGCCCATTAATACACCTTGCAAATTAATACAACTCACTCACCCTGCCCACCCTGCAGGGAAATGGGAAACCTGAAGTAATGCAATGAGTAAAGTTAAGTGCTTTAATTAAAGAACAGGAGTGTCTGTTCCTCAATGCATTCCTTGTGATAGACATCTCACCCATCAAAGCTTTAATTCAAAATATTTTGATTTTTCAATAAAATAACTTCCAAATACAAGCTCTCTAAAGCACATATTATAGGCAGATCTGTACATCACCAAAGGGAGTTCTGTATCACCTTTAAAAGAACTAAACATTGGGATCAGCACAAAATCTGTTGAGCATTCAGAGGATTTGGTCATCTCTCAGCATAAAAACAGCTCAGTGCTGTACAGGGAGGACAGTAGGATAGGTATTCTGGAAGGATGAGATTAAATGGATCAAAGGGCCTTATTCATCCAAACCTTTCTTGTGATTTTATGACTGCAGTCTTGTGGAGGATGAGAACCTTTCACTATTGGTGATGGATTTCTCTGTGTGTCAGACCAAAATAAATTGACAGATGTAACTTACTGGATATGCTGAGATAATCTTCACTGCCTGCTGCAATTCTTCCAGGGTATTGAGACGATAGCCTTCCAAGTGTGACGTACCAACCTTCGATGAGTCTTTTGTCCCTTTGTGCCAAGATGAAGAGCAGTGGTGGTGGGCACAGCAGCAATGGTGACAGCAGCAGTGGGTGGCAGCAGTTTGACTGTGCTCTTGAAGGTCACTATTTAGATGGTGTAGTCCAGTATCTAGTGAAAGTGATTTTCTAAATGATTTCCCAAATTGAAATTCAGACTTAAATGAAGAGTGTTTGTTTGGACTTTGATTTCTTTCAACAGGATATTCTTCATCAGTCTGTACTGAAACTTCTCTTGTCTTCCTTTTCCTACTTCCTACAAAGATACTTTCAGATTCCGGGGTTGTGGCTTTATTTACATGTTGGTACGAGACGGTTAATGATTCCAAAGAATCCACTTTTGTGGAACACTTTTGCTGATCCATATCTTGGGTGATTTGGACGGTCATGAAATTGCTCGAACAAGAAACACATTCTGGCAGACGTTGGGTTGCCTCTGGGGATCCACTGATGGTATAGTTCTCAGTTGCTGGTGTCCTACCCTTAATCATTGCAGGATATTCATTCTGGCTCTGTGAATCATTGCTCTGAACCTGGACCTGAGTATTTAAGTGAGAACTGTTATCTGGAGCCAGACTTTGACTTGTGTCTATACGACTGCTTCCATCCAGGAATCCACTTGTCTCAACCACACTTTCCTCACCAGGATTGTCCTCATTATCGTTTTCTATATATGATTTGTTTTCTTCTGGGAAAATATGCAAAACTAAGTGTGTTCCTAAAGAAAGTGTACAATTATTGTCAATAGAGCTCTTTGCAAAACAGTCTGTTTTGTGTTCAGTGTCCTGGCCCAGGATTGAGCACGTTCTGCTTTCCTGCAATGTGGCTTGACTGTCAATGCTGTCATCACTGATGTCTTGGGGTTGTGGAGCCTGAAAAGGTTGGACAACAACAAATTCTAGCAGTAATGTAGAATCTCACACATAGAATGACTGTTTCGAAGTGCTTAACAGTTATGATAGGGAGCCTCAAGCAGAGGAGAGGAAGGAAAATTAAGTTTACCAGCCAGGTCTGAAGAGAGACCTTTTTAGGAGGGTTTTGAAGATGTTCAGAGAGAAAGTAAAACAATGAAGGAGAGTTCCAGCAGACCGGGGCACAATAGTGAAAGCTTTGCCACCAATGGTGGGATAGAACGAATGAGGAATGAGCATTCAATCACAAATAATGGACTGGAATATAGAAGAATATGGCTGGAGGAGCTTCCATATTTGGGGAGGAGAAGGGAAGGGATTTAAAGATAATAAAATAGCAATCCTTACATTGAATTTAAAGCCTTTCACATTGGGAGAATGTTTCAAAGTGCTTCACAAGATATATTGTAAAGTGTAGTGACTGTATTTTGCAGGCAAATGCTGCCAAATGGTGCACAGCTATGAAGTGAATGAACAATTGTACCTGGGGCATTGTGGCCAAAACACTAGGAGTAACTTGTTTCAAATAAGGACAAAGATATTCAAATCAATGTTCTTGGTTACTTGTTGCCAGTGGAGTCTGGGAAGGATGCCAGTGTTAGGTGCACAACAGCTGAGTACAGAGATTTGGAGTGTAACTGTGGGTGAAGTTCATGTTACAAGATCACAAGATTGATCTGGGTGAAGAAAGCCTTTCGGCCCATCTGATCTCATCCCTCCAGACTCCCACCCTACGATCCCCCCCATCACAGCAGCAAGCTGCTCTTTACATAAGTTCAGTGTCTTGGCTTCTACCATCTTTCCAGTCGTTGATTGCCTTCTATTGAAGAAAAACTTCCGGGTATCTGTCCTGAAATTGCCCTTTCCAATTCTAAACATAAGCCTTCTTGTTCTGCTATCATGATACATTCTAAAGTATTGATCTGGGTTGACTGAAGTATGTGGTACTTGGAAGGGGAAGCATGTCAAGGTGGCATGATGACAAGAATTGACAGATTAGGTCATCTCTGTTTATGAAACTCACATAAACAAATCCAAGGTGTCTCAGTTTTATAAGTGTACCAGACAGGAGTTGAGCTCAAAGAAACAATTATTTATTAAATGCCATGTAAGATTATTGTGAAGTGACTAGGTTCAAAGTGTGCAACACTAGCAGTATTTATTCTGCATCTCTGTTGTACACTGTTGAAACCAATATTTTGTTGCAAGTAGAATGAGGTGCAGCATTGTCATACCTGCAGAGATAGGGGGATGAACGGTTCCTCCAGAAATCCACTACTGTCTGACTGACAGCTATTGTCTCTCTGCAAATCTGCTGTGAAGAGAAGGATAAAATGCTGAGATCAACTACCATATACCATAATAATCAGACATTCTGAGATTTTACTCTACTTGGACCATATGCTCTATAAATACTATTTGTTGCAATATTCAAATAATAATATTCAAATGTTTGTTTTGTGAGAAATTCGACTAATTGCTGTTTATATCAGAAGTTTCGGAAAGATTAGCTGCTGTTAACCTGTACAACAGCTACCATCGGCATAAATATATACTAGGTGATAATTATCATAAGGTTTTCACAAGGAAAGGCAATGTGCTTAAACTATATCCTTAATGACAGGTTCGACACTGGACACTCTAACTTTCAGAGAATGTTTCTTCCTCAGGCATGCTCAGAAACAAAATATTGTCTTGCTTTTACTTTAAAATCTCAGAATGGCATTTCAAATTTAATTTTATATGTTTAATGTTAAATTTTAGTCAGAATGAGCTGAACCAAACTAATTATTTTGGAATTATGAGAGCAAACGGACCAAAGGGTCTTCTTCATCAAAGCTGCTCCTGGAATCTTATGAATAGCTTGATTTGGATTCAAAGACTCCAGTCTAAAAGGAGTGGTGAGAATATGGATCTCATTGCCACAAGCTGTGGTTCAAGTAGAAAGCATCAACATCTGTAAGAGGAAACTTGATGGATAACAATGACAACAACAAGATGACATTTGTATAGCACCTTTCACGTTGGGAGGACGTCCCAAGGTCCTGTTCAGTGTACGGCATTTCAGACCCGAGCTGGGGTCGGGGGGAGAGGGGGGTGGGGAGAAGGGAAGGGAGGGGAAGGGGGCTGGAGAGAGAAGTGAATAGATGGGAATGGGAGATGGGATTAGGAGGGGTGGAATACAACAGCATGGACTAGTTGGGATGAATGGTGTGCTTCCACACTGTAATTCTATATAATTTTATGTAACAGGGACTACTACAACAATGACATCTTCCATTTATATATCACCCCTCATGCAGAGTAGTGTCCCAGAGCACTTGACAGTGACGGATCACAACGTTGAGCTGGGGGAAGCGGGAGGTGACTGTAGGCACAATCGAATAGGAAGGTCTTCAATCATGACCTGAAGATGGGGAAGGAAGGGGCAAGTCGGAGAGATAGAGGAAGAGTGCTCCAGAGTTTTGGGGCATGGTGACTGAAAGGTGGCCACCAATTGTGGAAGGGAGGGCATGAGGGACATGCAGAATGCCAGAGCCTTCAAACGGAGGCAGCGGGTAGTGGGTTGGGTTGGGGTGTAAACAGGTTGGAGAGGTAGGGAGGTGCCAGGGCATGAAGTAAGTTGAAAACTATTGTGAGGAACTTGAAATTGATCCGTTTGGCGATAGGGAGCCAGTGGAGCCTGGCTAGAATTGGTGTGATGGAGGTGCGGAGTTTAGTAAGGATGAGTATGTGGGCGGCAGAGTTTGGGATCAGCTGGATTCTGTGTATAGTGGAGCTGGGGACACAGGCAAAGAAGGCATTTGAGAAGTTGAGTCGGGAGGTGACAAACGCACAGACGAGTGTTTCGGCTGCACCTGGGGTAAGGTACAGTTGGAGGTGGAGGTGGAGGAAGGCGGTCCTGGTCAGGATGTGGGGAAGGAAGGACAGGTGTGGGTGGTACCTGGCATCTAGGTCGCGCACTGGTTCAGTCAGTCAGTCTGGTTCAGTCAGTCAGTTAGTCAGTAAGCCGGGGAGGTGGAGGAGGTCATAGCCACAGGATAGAAAACGTTGATGGGAGCCAATGAACAAGGCTTCCATCTTGTCAACATTTAGTTGTAGGAAGTTTTCTCTTATCCAGGTCCAGACAAGCTGAGAGAACATTGTCAGCCTTGGAGTCACAGCTGGAGGAGAAGTAGATTTGTGTTTCATCTACATACATGGGGAAGTTTACCTCATGTCTGAGGATGACATCGCCCAGAGGGAATACATAGATGAGGAAGGGAGGGGTCCACGGATGGAGCCCTGGGGTACACCACAAATGACCGGTCGGGGCGGGTGGAGAAACTGTTTGAGGAGATAAAGTGAAGCTGGTTTGTTAGGTAGGACACGAACCAGGCTAGTGCAGCCCCACTGAGGTAGATGAGGGAGGAGAGGCAGTGGATGAGGATGGCATGGCCAACTGTGTCGAAATGGCGGAGAGGTCGAGGATGAGGAGGCAGAGAGAAAGGATGTCGTTCATGATCTTGACAAGACCCATCTCTGTTCTATAGGCAGGGTGGAAAACCATCCTGGCAAGAAAACCTCTGATGGTATTATTTAAGGATAAAGTTCAGTTTTGAAACCTTGTTCCTTTTAGCTTTAAACACTAGGCACATTCATCCAAATTCACTGAGAGAAACAAATTCACTGACGTTTATCCCATTATCATTTATATACAATGGCACAGATCAGCTGCCAGATTTGCCTATATAATAAGAATTGCTACACTACAAAGTAAGCCATTGAGGAAGCACTTGGAGCCATATTTATTATGTTTATTATGTGACAGTCGCCAATAGCAAAAAAAGGGACACTATTCAATACTGTAATACTGTATCAGTAGTCTAACCAGTCCACCTGCAATTTATTACCTGTGTGTTCACATGTGTTCATTCAATTGGGCAGAAAGCTATGAAAGTCAGAAGGCTACAGTAAAACATAGAAGTCCCTTACTGGTGTATTTCTTTATTTTCCATGTTCTTTTGTGCACAGAATAAGAGCAGGAAAAACTGTCATGTAAGAAACAGGCACAAAGCATTTGACTGAAATTGGCCACTGTTAGCAAATGCCATCTATTCTTGTGATTGACTAATAGATTATATCCTATAATTTCACACACCTCCTGCATATAGTTTTGGTGGATGAAGATGTGATTCTGCTGACAGGGAATGGGGCACCTTTCAAATTCTGTATGGTTGAACAGAGTAGATGACACTTTATTGTTACTGGCAACCTAGGTATCCCAACGCACAATCTGGAGTCTCCAAGTTTTGGTTCTCATCAACTTGCGTCTATTATTCTCCGGGATTAGGTAAATGTCTGACACATGCGGAAACTCATCACCATGCATAAGCATAGCCAAACCAGTCTGAGAGTTTCACACATATATATATCCCACCTACACATGGAAATTTCATTGTGTTTGGAATGGAATATGCACTCTCTCTCTCTGGAGGGACCACAAAAACAATATTCTGTATGGTTGAACAAGTCAGATTAAACATCACTTTATTTTTACAATGTGAGAGGGCTTTTGTAGACTTTGAGATGACAGGACGGGTGCAGAATTAAATATTTTGATTGACTGGTCCTGTGTATATAACTGCATTATATACCGATAATCCTTACACTTGATATAGTGCCCTATCATGTCGACAACAGTTCTCAAAGTGCTTTACAAAATAGAAAAGCGTAGTCACTGTATATTTGTAAGCGAAAACGGCAGAAAAGTTACACACAAATTGTACACAACAATGTCGCACAAATAGCAGCAAAGTGAATGACCAATTTTACCTGGGGGATTGTAGGCCAGAACACTGGGAGAAATAGACTACCACGGAGGGCTGGATCAATTATACAATGTTCCATTGCTAAGAATGTCAATTCTGAAATCCTTTTACATGCATGTCACCTTGTACCTAGTTCAGCTCCATGGGATCCTGCTTACCTCCTTCCAAGGAAGATAGTCATTAGCTCATCTTGATTTCAGAGTGACACACAGGACAAGACAATGAGTCCAGCAGGGTTTATATTGCATCATCCTTCTCTACTGCTGGCTTTGTGGCTGCTGATAGGGTTCACTAAACATAAACAGTGACTTCGGGAAGGCATGCGACAGATAGCTGCCAACAACAGAATATTTGAGCGTCTGAATAACCTTCAACATCTACTGGAGCACGTGCAGAATAAAAGTCAGAATAATATGCAAATGTCAAAAGCAATTGTGGAAGTAAATTTTAATTCTACTCACAGATTCCAAGTATTAAACTCCCATATGTTGCAATTAGATCTGCCCAGAATCTCAGCTAAGTTCATTAGGATCCCAGGCATTGGGTAACTAACTTGCTTAAATTGCGTTTGTGTCAAATTTCCATCCAACAATTTCTTCCGTAGATGAATTTCACAAACAATGACCTTCCTAAAGATATTATTGGTCCCATCATAATTTTGTTTTGTTTTGTTTGCGAAGAATTGTTCACAATTATGTGCCTGACGTTATGTACCTGAGCAATGGTGTATGACTGGACTTTGTGTTTCCAGCTGCTTCTTTACTCTAAATCAGAGGTTGCTGAATACACAGCCATGCAGAAAGGTTACTGAAGTATAGCACTCAAACTCAAGACTGCCATTGTTAAGGACGAAGTAGCTCAGAACTTAAGTCTAAACCAGTGGTAGCCAACCTGTGGCTCGCTGGGCTGTCAAGAAGTTGCTCGAACATTCGCACAAATCTAGCATTAGTGCTCCACACCAATTGGTGCCCCCTTTCTTCCACCAAGGGTCCCAAAACATGATCTAATTTAAAACCCCCAAATCCCTTAATCCAGCCCTGGATACGATGCCAATTTATTGCAATCCTGTGAAGCAGTGAATTAAACATTGGCTCCAGGATTACCAAGTCATGCCAGAATCCCCAACTTGCCTGACAGTGTCAAGCATCAAATAGAGAATGGGAGCAATCTGCTGAAGTCAGAGGGTATTTAGCTCCAGATACGTATCTTTATGTAATGGCTGATATAAGGAATGTCTTACTACAGATTTGATCTGATAATTGTCACATCCAAGTCTGTTACGAAAAGTCACATAGCTTCATCCTGTTATGGTTAATTTCTGCTCTGATGTTATGACACTCACTACGGGTATGCAAATAAAGGCAGTGTTTCAGGAAGCAATGCGTCACAGGCAAAGTTTGCAATGGAAATGAATTACCGAGAAACTGAAAGATGAAAGTGTACAGAAAGAGATACCTTAACTACACGACATACCATCAATAACCGGAAAATCAGCATGGTTGTCAAATTGGATTTCTTTGCTATCGTTGTAACCCCAGAACTACTTCATGACTAGACTTTCAACATTTCAGACTTTTAGTTTTGAATTTTGAATCAAATTGAATGGCTTCAATAGGTATTAACACAAGTAAGCTTTGACAAGGTTTAATATCACTTTCCATTTAATTAATAATATTTTTTCCATTTACTTAATAATATTTTTGCATTTGATATAATGCCGTAGCATTTCATTTGAGACATCTCAATGATTTGATAAGGCGCTATATCAAATGCAAGGATTATTATTATCAAAGTGGATGAAAGTTTTTTCACAGAATTTAATGCAGAGTGCACTGACATCTTATTTACAAGTGAACCTGGAGAATGTGCAGTTAATTTATGCAAAGCAATAACAAACAGCCTTCAAGTGAATGAACAATTTTATCTAGAGGATTGTTGGCCAGGTCACCGGGTGGAACTCCGGTCTCTTTCTGAATAGTACGGTGAGATTCTTAACGTTCACCTAAACAGGCGAATGCTCATCTGAAGGACGGCACCTCTGACAATGCAGCAGTACCTGCGCGCTGTATTGCAATGTCAATGGGCTTGTGAGTTTTGGCACACTGGAATGAATCTTATACAGGGCTTAAGAAACAGGTACCAACAAGAGGTGTCTAAAAGCCCTCTTACTGTGTGGGTGCTGGCAAAAATCTATGCATCATAAAAAGTGTTTTCTCCAAATGCTCAACATGCATTGGAGATGAAGTCTTGTGAGCCTGAGTTCCTGTACAGGGGATTTTCAGGAGAAAACCCTGTTTACTTAACTAGGTGCATTTGTTGTGGGGCTGTTTCTTTGCTGCCAAAACAAAAACAAGTATTGGTGTAAGGTCAGAAAGCAAAATGCTGGCTGCTGAACAGTTTTGCTGGCCTTTGGGATAAGAGAATTTGGTGACAAATAATAGTAATAATCCTTGCACTTGGTTTAGTGTCTTATCATGTCAGAAGGATGTTTCAATGCGCTTCACAGGCATTCCTGTGAAAATTGAGTTACTGTTTATTTGTAGGCAAATGAGGCAGCCCAATTGTGCACAGCAGTGTCCTACGAACAGCTTTGAAACAAATGACCAATTTTGTTTTGGGTGATTGTTGGTCAGGACACCTGGAGAAACTCCCTTCTTTTTTCAAATAGCGCCACTTGGGGCCTTTGGTGGCAGACAGGTGCTCTGTTACCGTCTCATCCGACGGACGGAATCTCCGACAATGCAGCACACCCCAGCACTGCATTGGAGTGTCAGCTTAGACTATGTGAGATCACATCCTGATGTGGAATTTGAACACACAATCTTCTGACCCAGAGGAGATAGCCAAGCTGGCACTCATTTTGCCAAATCTCACAATTTCAGTGCCAAATAAGATGTCAGAATTAACCCAGCAACTGTTCCTGAATAGTAAAGTAATCAGGTGGAAATAATATAGTAGGTCTATTATAGTGTCCCTATTAAGGAACCTCTGCTTACTCCTTCCTGCAGCTCATTTGTTTTTGTGTTTGAATAATTAACTAACCACATGCCTCTGCTGCTGTTTCCATTAGAGATGCGTGAGTATAGATTTGATTTGTTACTGGTACAGCAGTGTCACCAGGACTCATGCTTGGGACAGAAGAAAAGGCTGATAGAAAGGGTGGTGTTTCAGAGAATCTGTAGTCAGCAGATGTGAATTGTCGAAATTGGACCAGGCCTGACCCTGCACTACTACTGGCACAAAGTTTGCACACACAGTAAATGTTTTATTTTGGCATATGTGACTGTTTAAACAACCATGAGGTGAAGGAGGCCGGGATAAACTACCTTCTCTTTTCGAGTCGTGTCACGGGATTTTTAATGTCAACTTGAACAGGGACCTCGGATTAATGTCTCATCTGAAAAATGGTACTTCTGACAATGCAGCACACCCCAGCACTCCACTCGGGTGTCTACCTGGATGATGAACTCAAGCTCTGACATGTGCTGCATACCACAACTTTCTGATGAAAAGGCGAGAGTGCTACCAACTAAGCCAAGCTGTGGCCAGATATAACAAGTTCAAGCAGTTCTGGCCCTGAATACAATTCATTCTTTGCAGAAATCATTGACTCAAATATTATAAAATTACTTATGAATGTTAAAAGTTATGCATTTCCACGGCTCACACATTTGGCATTTTATAATAGAAGGCCCCTCTGAGATCTCTGTCACTTTGTCAGGGAAAGATCCCATGGGAAAACCAGACAGAGAGAGAAAAATTGGACAAAAAAATTAGAGAAGAACAGTGAACCCATAACCCCCTGTGGACCTGCTAAAGGCTAACGTAAGAACTGCTGGTAAATTGCAGGGACATCTCACTCACCCATCCCTCAACTGGGAAGAAACCTAAAAAGAAAAATCAGCGTAAAATATATCAGTACATTGTTTGCATACCTTAGGAAGGCTTAGGGTGTGAATGAATGGAGCAACAAGCACAGAAAAGTGGACAATAGAGATGTCCTAGAGTTAAACCATTCACTTACCTATATAGATACTTTTGAGAGCCATTCTAGCAGGGCTTTCTTCATCAACACTCTGGATCTGAGAGAAAAAGAAAGGAAGCACTACTCAGTTCAATTTTCATGTAATTTTCCTCCCAATTGTCAATCACTGGATATATTATAATTCAGTAGGATTTTTTAAAAAAACAAACAAATGAAATGAATTGTAGAAGCAAGCTAATTCGGAGTTCACTTGGTATAATAATCAAAAAGAATTAGCAAACTCTCCAAACTGGTTTGAATTTTCAAAACCTACGACCTCAATTCTGGTTTAAATGGAGTAAAATGATAGGAAATAATAGTGCACTATCCTAGGTTGACAGTGAATTGGAAGTTACCAAAATTTAGATCAAACCAAACTTCTGCCTGATCTGTACCTTTCTCATAAATTTTAACTTATCCAGAACTATTATCAAATGGAAGACGGCAATTTGTATTGTGATATTTAAAATTAGTAGTGGCAACATGGCAATCCTTCTGTACTGTGTATAGAACAGACTTTCAGGAAAATAATATGATTATGTAATGATTCTCAGACCAGGCTTGAGTAGGAACTGCTGTCACTCAGGCAGAAACTTGAAAACTTCCATGTGCAATGAATCATTTACATTTAACCGCATTAGAGGTTAGGATGCATTAAAAGAGTAGAACAAGAGGACATAGATTTATAGTTCCAAAGGGCAGACATGAACTATTTTTTCACCCTGAATGCAATTAGTGACTAGATCAGGTTGCCAGAGAGGGTGGTTCTGCACAGGATGCTGGACTCACTCGCGGAGATAAACAGCAGCTCAGACTGGATGGGCCGAAAGACAAATTCTGTGCTCTAACCCTTTATGATTTACCTCTTCCAGTTCAAAGGAGTCTGGTAACTGATCCCCTTGCAGAGTTTCAATGTATTTGCCGGGGATTCAATCAATCGGGACTCTTGGAGGGCTTGGCGCTTGGCAGATAATTCCAGTGTCCAAAGGCCTTGGGCTTCTGTCAGCCTGGTGCGTCTCCTCTTTCCCATGTTTTGCTCCTCAGTTAGCATTGGTGCAATGCTGTTTTCAGGAATGCTCAGTTGAGTGCACTGAAAAGCACTGTGCTTTGCTGAGCTTAAGAACTTTCCTCCCTCCTCACAGTTTTCCTTGCTGTAAATCGAGTCTTCACTGTTCTTCAGTAGATTCTTTTGTGCTGCTCTTTTTAGCAACATGGTAATCCTTCTGTAATTTTTCCTGACCTCCACGTGCTGTTTCCTTTCTCTTGAGACATTTTCCTTAAGTTGACTTTGGCTGGTATAGGGCATCTCAGTGTAAAAGGAGGAGAATGCATTGGTCACATGTTTTAGGAGTGTAAGCTGCTTGAAGCGACCTAAGTGGAAGAGGGGAGAAACAGAAACCATGAATTTGTTGTGGAGCAACATATCACAAGACCACAAGACTGCTTTGGATTAAGAAGGCCCTTCGGCCCATTTGATCCCATCCCACGAGAATATCTACATTACAGTCTTCCCATCACAGCACTAAGCTGTTTTTTAAATGAGTCCAGTGGCCTCACCACCCTTCCTGGTAGTCTGTTCCTGTCGCTAATGAACCTCTGGATAAAGAAATGCTTCCTGGTGTCTGTCCTGAAATTTCCCTTTGAAGCTCTATATCTGTGTTCTCTTGTTAAATCACCTTAGTGCATAAGACAAGAGATGATCACCGTGGAGGAAATACCATTTCTCTCTTAAACATCAGACATCACAGGTCTCTGCAGTGAAACCTGTATCTCTACTTTATTCTCAGAAAGGTCCTAGCTTCAATCTTGATCTGTGTTGGCTGTTAGCTGATCTCAGCTGGGCCAGCAGTTGGGGGATGCTCCACTTGGTTTCAGTATTCCAGAGATAGGGAACAATAAAATAGTCAGCATCATCACCATCAACTGGTCATGCACAGCACAGCTATGATGCTACCTGCCCTTTCCATTCCCCAATGGAATAAATCTATTGAGATTTATGCATTTAAGTATGAAGGTTGGCAGTTGAACTGACCTTAAGTGATTCAAGGCATGACTCAAGACCCTCCTTTTTGACCATGCCTTTGGCCGCTCTCCTACCCCCTCTTGCCCTCCCTCATCCCAACTCTGCCCCCCACGCTTGGGTCCTGATCCCTGACTGTTCAGCGCCTTGGGACGTCGTCCCGACAAATGGGATGTTTTGTTGGTGATATTGACGTTGTTGATTGAGGGAAATTTCACAGGAGGCAGAAATATAATGTGAAAAGATTTCAGGCACGTTAAATCTGTGAGAATATTATGCACTCTGCACAGTATTGCTGCATGGTCAAAATAATTGATTGCAATGGGAGGAATAATGAACATGCATTGCTCTCTTCCAAAAGTGACATTCAGACACCTATGATGAAACATTTGCTGTGCAAAAAGTGCTTTGAGACGTCATGCGTGAAATGACATAAGTAAATGTAAATTACATTGAGAGTTAAGTCAACTCAGCATACAATGTAAAGGGGAATAAATTCTACTGGGAAATTCAGTTCAGTAACCCAACCCAGTCCGATCAGTCTGCTTGTACAGAATGCTGCTTACTATACACATCTGGGCACTCTAGTGCAATCCGCAACTTCTGTGCCTTGTGAAAGACTTCCATGTTTATTCCAATTGCTGCTGAAGGGTTGTTGAGGAAGCGATTTGGGATTTTATGGGACATGTTAGGCTCGTCTTTGCCAAAGCCAAGATCTATCAGAAACTCCTCAGGATCATCTTCGTAGAAATTCAGGATCTCAACAACACTGTAAAAAAATCCGAATATAACAGTTAAGGATTTCATGGTATTAGCAGTCACAGGTACAACACATAACAAGAAAGTTCATCAATCCCAAAACTGGAAATCTGTGTTTTATTGAAATTAAATCATAAATGTAGATCCCATAATTCAGCTGGATGTTATTGATCCCCACTGGAATGCTATTTAAAATAAACATTTTCTCAAAGTTATCTTGCTTTATAATTTTTTCCTCATCCAAATTGAAATGAATCAGCTCCTTGTCATTGTTTGAAGGATGGTGGTGACAAAAATCTGTTGCCGCTTTAGCCTCTGTAACGACATTCACCTCATTTCTAATTCTGTAACACAAGTCCGGGTGCTTCCGAGTCCAAAATAATGTTTCTTTGAAATAGTGACCCAATGGGCATCAATTATATCCAGTTGAATTATGGGATCTACATTTTCTGTAAAAGCTGTTATGTAAGGGTATATTTTTGTGCATGAGTATTACAATGTCAATAGATGTCCACACATACATGAACTGCTACCAGAAATGTATTTAGCCATGTCTGCTTCCCAAATAATGTCAGTCAAATTGGAAAGAGACTGGGAGCAGAGTCACCTGATATTCAGGCACATCTCCTGATCTCCCCTGTATTTGGGAAGAGGAGATGGCAAAAGTAGAAATCTAGCAGCAGTGTGCACATTTGTGAGGGTCTGCCACACATACACAAAATAAGAAGTTCACGCATAAAAGGACTGTCCGTTGTCACAAGCGCCACAAAATATACAGTCAATTCACTTTATAGTATCAGAAGTCGCTGGGGACACTCAGCAGGTCAGGCAGCATTGCTGGAGAAAGGAAAGTGAGTCAACATTTCAGGTCCACAACCCTTCATCAGAACGCAAAGTTCAGAACGTTTCGGATCATGGACCTGAAACGTTGACTCCATAGATGCTGCCTGTCCTGCTGAGTGTTCTCAGCAACTTCTGTTTTTGTCTCAGATTTCTGCATCTGCAGTATTTTGAGTTTCACTGTATAGAATATTCTGTGAAGTGCTTTGAGACGTTTTGAAGATGTGATAAGGTGCTACATCAAATGCAAGCCTTCTTCTTATTATTATAAGCACCACGTACAATTCAAAATGATGGTTACAGAGGGTTGGACTGCGGCACCACCTCCAGTTAAATGCCACATAGCGTCCGGAACTTCAAAATAAAAACAATAGCTTTCTAATTTTAAAAATAACATTTACATAGATTTATTAACACTTAAAGCCTCAGAGTAACTCACCTCCTTGGCCCACTGTTGACGGTGGTGGTAGAAGTCAGGCTGTTCCACCTGCTCAGCACACGGGTTTCAGAGGCAGCACGCAAGGTTCTAACCAGACACAAAAATATGGACACATTAATTAACCCTTAACTCAAGAGGAGGAGTGTGAAACACAGCTCAACTTCCCTGGTAACAATGACCTGTTTAATTTACCAGTGTGAAACAGGGTTGAATTCTTTAGAATTATAGAATATTACAACACTGAAAAAGGCTATGTGACCTATCAAGTCTACAGTGGTGTTTTTCTCCATATTGAGCCATGTATTCCAATTCCACTCTCTTGTTCATTTTGTTACATTTCACTTTTCCCCAAGCATCTATCTAACTCTGATTTCAAGTATTTCATTGGCTCTGTTTCAACTACGGTTTGTGGTAGATACACAAAAGAAATTGAGAGATTTGTTTTCCTTCCATGAGGAAGGAATTTATCTTTTACACTATTTTTTAATAGTGTGGTTCCCAGCAGATCCAGAATTCAAAAGGCCAGCAATAATTCCAATCATGTGCCTTTATGCGCCAAAATAACCCCCCATTAATGGGAGTATTGGTGTAAGCATACGTTGTGATATTATTGTGATACTTGCACATTGGAACCAAGATGCCTTCACAAGTATGGAATGTTCCCAGGCCTGCTCGCTCCTTTCCTGTCATCAAGTCGGATCTGCGGAATGCAGAGACCACAAGAAAGCCGACTCTAAAGTCAAGTCCGAGCAGGTCTGGAGCCGGGATAGTTGACCACTGTACACTACAGTAGTTTACCAAGCGTTCTGGGACCCTACCTTGCATGAGGGGTGCTTTATAAATGCAAGTTGTTGTTGTTACCCTTGGGAATAGAAATGAAACTGGTAGTAATAGTGTAAAAGGATTCTAGTTCCTTCCTTCCTCTTTGCACAAGCATTTGCACATGATTAACCAAACCTGCAAATTAGACCCCACAATCTTAAATGCTTCATTCAGCATCACCTTCATCAACACAGCCCAGATCAGGAACTTGCAGTGTGGAGAGTTTACTCAATTTTACTAGTTTACTCAATTGGAGAGTTTACTCTAATTTCTCAGTCTTTCAGAGTTCAAAATATAAACTAACCTCAAGTATTCCTGCACGGACAAACCTTGTATTCCAGTTTGATATAGATTAGCTGTAGGGGAAGCGGAAATGCATTTTAATTAATAATTACACCATGAACCAAATAGTCAATCACTAATTAGATTTCGTATAATGTAAATGCATTGGTTTAACATGTTTCAATGTCACCGATGGGCGCAGGATAATCAACTAGGTTCAAAGCCCTTGAGGTTTCAAGATATACCACTGAATACTTTCCAATACTTTGTCACAAAAATGTAGTTTGCTGATTAGATTTTTACAATACAATAAGAATACTAAATTAAACAAAATTATCTGCAACACTCACCTTCCACTCCCAGCATTAAGTCATCTTCTGTGCTGCCAAACCTCCTCAGGATGTCTGGTGAATTGGACAGAGATAAGGATTTACTCATGCGGTATTCTAGCCCTTTACAGTGACACCATTCCCACACCAACAAATCCACCCCACCCCATCCATAGTAAGTGACTTGTGCTAATTTCTCTTTCCTTAGCAGCACAGCAAAAATGCTTTAGAGTTCCACAAACGTAATAATAATAACAATAATTCTTGCATTCGATATAACGCCTTATCATGTCTTCCAGATCTCTCAAAGCGCTTCACAGAATATATTGTAAAGTGGATTGACTGTATATTTTGTGGGTGAAACATCCTCAGAAACCTTTCCAGCACAACTAGAATGATAATTAGAATTTTTTGGGGGGGATTAAACT